CGGCCGGTCGGTGAAGACGTAGACGCCCAACAACGGCGGCATAATAGGCCAGCCGTGCAGGCGGAGACACCAGTCGGCGGCGGGCGAGGCGGCCGGTCGGTGAAGACGTAGACGCCCAACAACGGCGGCATAATAGGCCAGCCGTGCAGGCGGAGACACCAGTCGGCGGCGGGCGAGGCGGCCGGTCGGTGAAGACGTAGACGCCCAACAACGGCGGCATAATAGGCCAGCCGTGCAGGCGGAGACACCAGTCGGCGGCGGGCGAGGCGGCCGGTCGGTGAAGACGTAGACGCCCAACAACGGCGGCATAATAGGCCAGCCGTGCAGGCGGAGACACCAGTCGGCGGCGGGCGAGGCGGCCGGTCGGTGAAGACGTAGACGCCCAACAACGGCGACATAAAGGCCAGCCGTGCAGGCGGAAACACCAGTCGACAGCGGCGAAGGTAAGCCGGTCGGTGAAGACGTAGACGCCCAACAACGGCAGCATAATAGGCCAGCCGTGCAGGCGGAAGCACCAGTCGGCGGCGGACGAGGCGGCCGGTCGGTGAAGACGTAGACGCCCAACAACGGCGGCATAATAGGCCAGCCGTGCAGGCGGAAGCACCAGTCGGCGGCGGCGAAGGCAAGCCGGTCGGTGAAGACGTAGACGCCCAACAACGGCGGCATAAAGGCCAGCCGTGCAGGCGGAAACACCAGTTGGCGGCGGCGAAGGCAAGCCGGTCGGTGAAGACGTAGACGCCCAACAACGGCGGCATAAAGGCCAGCCGTGCAGGCGGAAACACCATTCGGCGGCGGCGAAGGCAAGCCGGTCGGTGAAGACGTAGACGCCCAACAACGGCGGCATAAAGGCCAGCCGTGCAGGCGGAAGCACCAGTCGGCGGCGGGCGAGGCGGCCGGTCGGTGATGTTCTGACTGATCCATTCCTGGAGCGTAAGAGATAAGCTTAAAGCCATGAATCCCTTTTATGCATATCTGGATCTGGATCCTGCAGAACAAACATATAGGATGAGTAGTATCTGATATAAATATAATACTTGAGAAAAAATCAAGTATTTTAAAATATTTATAAATATGTATTTCTCCTCTTGTCAATTTTGATTTCCCCGAGCAGATGACTCTGTACGTTTAAACACTCTGTCCGACTAGTCATAACCATCAAGCACCGGGAGTCGGCCTAGGCACTTCCCAAACATGCATATGAGTGACATGAGTTCGTCATTAATGGAACAAAGTTTCACGGATCAGAATTTACTACTCGGGTACTTTTGCAATTATTAAGAGCAGAAAATAAATTTATCTCGTCTCTATGCTTTTGATTTATTCCGAATAATACTTAGCACCTTGCGTTACTCGGTCCATCCAACGAGCCCCCGGGTGCTAGGAATCGGCCCAAAGGCAACCATCCATTGGCAAACCAAACGGAAAGCATAGGAGGATAGAACTCCATAACTCGATAGGTACTTTTGTACTCAGATTATGTCGCAAGCAATCAAGATAAATATTATAAAAAATATGATATAACATCTGTAGCCCCCGACTCACTACTCAATGGAAGACCAATTGGTGTAGTGAGGCAGAGGAAAAGGAAAAATATCATATAAAGAATAAAATAAATGATGACTTAGCTTTGTAATATTCCCCTTGGTGATGGCAGAAGTGGCCAATGTGGGAACAAAGTCGTCCATCAATAACAATGAAGACACCAGTCGGCGGCGACGAAGGCGGTCGACGGTGAAAGCGAAGATGCCCACTAATGGCGGCATAATAGGTCAGCTGTGTAAGCGGAAACACCAGTCGACGGCAACGAAGGTGAGCCAACGGTGAGGATGTAGACATCCAACAACGGCGGCATAATAGGCCAGCCGTGTAGGCGGAGGCACCACTCGGCGGCGACGGAGGCAGGCCGACGGTGAAGTCGTAGACGCCCAACAGCGGCGGCATAATAGGCCAGCCGTGTAGGCGGAGGCACCACTCGGCGGCGACGGAGGCAGGCCGGCGGTGAAGTCGTAGACGCCCAACAGCGGCGGCATAATAGGCCAGCCGTGTAGGCGAAGGCACCACTCGGCGGCGACGGAGGCAGGCCGGCGGTGAAGTCGTAGACGCCCAACAGCGGCGGCATAATAGGCCAGCCGTGTAGGCAGAGGTACCACTCGGCGGCGACGGAGGCAGGCCGGCGGTGAAGTCGTAGACGCCCAACAGTGGCGGCATAATAGGCCAGCCGTGCAGGCGGAAGCACCACTCGGCGGCGACGGAGGCAGGCCGGCGGTGAAGTCGTAGACGCCCAACAGCGGCGGCATAATAGGCCAGCCGTGTAGGCGGAGGCACCACTCGCCGGCGACGGAGGCAGGCCGGCGGTGAAGTCGTAGACGCCCAACAGCGGCGGCATAATAGGCCAGCCGTGTAGGCGGAGGCACCACTCGGCGGCGACGGAGGCAGGCCGGCGGTGAAGTCGACGATGCCCATCAACGGTGGTGTGACCAACCGACCGTATAGGCGGGGACACCAGTCGGCGGCGATGGAGGCAGGCCGGTGGTGAAGTCGTAGACGCCCAACAGCGGCGGCATAATAGGCCAGCCGTGTAGGCGGAGGCACCAATCGGCGGCGACGGAGGCAGGCCGGCGGTGAAGTCGTAGACGCCCAACAGCGGCGGCCTAATAGGCCAGCCGTGTAGGCGGCGGCACCACTCGGCGGCGACGGAGGCAGGCCGGCGGTGAAGTCGTAGACGCCCAACAGCGGCGGCATAATAGGCCAGCCGTGTAGGCGGAGGCACCACTCGGCGGCGACGGAGGCAGGCCGGCGGTGAAGTCGTAGACGCCCAACAGCGGCGGCATAATAGGCCAGCCGTGTAGGCGGAGGCACCAATCGGCGGCGACGGAGGCAGGCCGGCGGTGAAGTCGTAGACGCCCAACAGCGGCGGCATAATAGGCCAGCCGTGTAGGCGGAGGCACCAATCGGCGGCGACGGAGGCAGGCCGGCGGTGAAGTCGCAGACGCCCAACAGCGGCGGCATAATAGGCCAGCCGTGTAGGCGGAGGCACCACTCGGCGGCGACGGAGGCAGGCCGGCGGTGAAGTCGTAGACGCCCAACAGCGGCGGCATAATAGGCCAGCCGTGTAGGCGGAGGCACCACTCGGCGGCGACGGAGGCAGGCCGGCGGTGAAGTCGTAGACGCCCAACAGCGGCGGCATAATAGGCCAGCCGTGTAGGCGGAGGCACCACTCGGCGGCGACGGAGGCAAGCCGGCGGTGAAGTCGTAGACGCCCAACAGCGGCGGCATAATAGGCCAGCCGTGTAGGCGGAGGCACCAATCGGCGGCGACGGAGGCAGGCCGGCGGTGAAGATGACGATGCCCATCAACGGTGGTGTGACCAACCGACCGTATAGGCGGGGACACCAGTCGGCGGCGACGGAGGCAGGCCGGTGGTGAAGTCGTAGACGCCCAACAGCGGCGGCTTAATAGGCCAGCCATGTAGACGGAAACACCAGTCGGCAAGAGTAGTGCCGCGGCGTTACATGCAAACAGCAGAAAATACCAAGAGAGATTAATCTGACATTTAGAGATCAATCTAATAAACAACAATAAGTTGAAAAGGAAAAAACCCGGCGAAGTCGGAGATTAAAAGGAAAAAACTCGCCGAGATTGATCTCTTCGACTGACTCCGAGACGGAGCGGAGGAGGCGGAGGTCGCAGTCGCGGGCGGCGTTGGTGTCCATCAGCACGACGCAGGACGGCAGGAAGGCATCGGCGTGGCTGCAGCCGTCTCCTATGCATCCGATTAGATCGGTTTTGGCATGCTTCGTGTTTGTAGATCCATCTTGCAACACCATGGCATCCTCGTTGGGTAGATTGGACCAGTAGGCTTGGTGGTGGACGAGGACGACCATCAAATCCGTCGAGCTGTCGTTGCCCCGTCGTTGCCGTCGTGCTGATGCGAACAAGATCAGGCAGAGAATAGCAGCGACGATTCGTCTTGTTGAAGTCGTCGGCGGCGAGGAATCAAGGAGCTCCCAAAGCGAAGACGAAGCCGGCGACTCATAAAGTTTATTCCATCGCACTCGTCGTCAGGAAACTCGGCGTTTACCCCTACCTGGCGCGCCAACTGTCGAAACATGAATTCGGCAATAATAAAAGGGGGTAGCGCACGAGACCTAAAAGTGGATGGATGTGGAGACAAAGGATTTAGACAGGTTCAGGCCCTCTCAATGAGAGGTAATACCCTACTCCTGTTTGGGGAATTGAATCCACCGGGTGTTTATTGATCTGACGATCAGATTGTCTCATGCCCCCTAGAGGGCCTCCTGCCCACCTTATATAGGGTGGGGGGCAGGATTACAAGATAGAAACCTTAACCAATACGGTATCGGCTTCCTAAATCTACTTTACAATATTATCAAACCAGGACTTTAGGCCGTTCCGTAACATACAAGGAAACGTAATATCCAAGTCATGATCTGTTACATATTCCATAGATATAAGTTATCCCCTATAGCCAGTCGGATAACTATGCCATGTGGGTATGGGGTACCCATAATCTCCACAGGCAGTAAGCAGAGCGCATGCACACACTGACACACACAGAGAAACACAAACATATATCGACCCATGCACACGAACACCTCCGTCACGGAAACACAAGCATGTTAGCGAATACCTGTACGCACGCGAACGTGGACGCGAGAGAGAAGAACAGCAATCACACAGAACACAAGTGTTTGGCGCTGCGAACAACTGAGCAGCATTTTCTGTTTATCTTCTTCCTTTTATTCTGTGAATACAAGATCATGGGCACGTACGTTGGCCCAGTTGACGCGGACACGATCCCTCAACGGCGACTGCCATCCCAATCACCAAGATCGTGCCCGCGCATGACGAGCCCCCGTGCGAACTAAACGCACACGACAAGCCCCAACGTCGCACACGACCGAAAACACAGCGAGGTCATGTGCGTGACTCTAACAGAATCAACAGAAAAACAGGGGAGGGAAAAACTACTAGAAACAGAAACACAAAGCAGATCGACACAAGTTTATTTGTAACAAAGCATGCAGCTAGCACACACCAACTTTACATGGACGAATGAAGGATGCATACGTTTGCATCTGTTGTTTCTCTTCTTCTGCTCCTTTTCGATCTTACTGGTGATTAAAAATAGGTTTGTTTTTATGTTCCTTAATGTCTTGTATCACCTGATCAGGGATAATTTTACCGTTGAGCTCGAGCTCCTTCAGTTGCGGAAGGTAGCAGATGCCAGAGAGGGACAACATCTTGGTAGTGAAGGACCAGGTGATCTTCTCGAGCTTAGGTGCTGCTCCTTCGTCTGTGAAGCTGATGCTGGTGATGTTCGAGCAATTAACAACAAGGAGGTTGAGCTTGCTGAACTCACCATTGTTGAAGTTGAGGCTACTTCTGACGCAAGACTGTTGCAGGAGAATGAGGCTGCGCAAGCTTGGTAGCTCGGCCAGTATTTTCAGTTCATTGAGATCCAGCAAGGTACCATCGAGTGTTAACCTGGAAAGGTGAGGAGCACCGGCAAGACATGCAACAAGCTTCCGATCATTATTATTCCCTTTCAGCTCAAGCTCCTTCAGGTTTGGAAGGTCAACAATTCCAGCAATATGAGTTGTGGACGTGAAGGACAGGATAATCTTCTCAATCTTAGGGGCTGCTCCTTGTTTAAATATAATGCTCATCATGTTGGTGCCCTCTATGATAAGGTATTTGAGTTCCAGGAACTCATTCTCTTCAAAAGTGATTTTCTCATCGTCGTATGATCGATGCCTGAGCCTAAAACAGCATAGATTGTGGAGCTTGGCGATGTCTTTTTTCAGATCCTCTTGCTTCAGCATGGTCCCACTAATAGTTACCTTGGCAAGGTTACGGTTGCCCTGACCTATGGCCAACAATGGTAGAAGCTGCACCTTGTCTATCACTCCACTGATGCTTAAGCTCTCTAGAAGCTTGGGATGTTGTTTCAAGCAATCTGCAGATGTCTCTTCGCTGGAAGGAGCCTGCTCACTTCCTGTTCCAATTAGAGTGATCGATAAAGACCGGAGGGACCCACTCAGGTCACTGATCACCTGAAGCAACTTCCTGAGGTGACCATCATGGTCGTCGATAACCACACCAAGCTTTCTTAGTTGCCGTAGCTTTCCAATCTCTGTCAACATATTACCATCCCGTGAAACGTTGACACTATACATTACTTCCATTTTAACCATTTTCTCAATCTTGCGAGGAATCCGCACACTGGATGATATTGTCTCTTCATGTCGTTTGAGATACATGCCGGTGCTATTGTATCTTGGGCTTGGATAAACTTGACCTGCCAGTAGTCGCTTCAGATTGAAAAGCATGATAGAGTTTGTGTCAATCTCAGGTACCTTGGCTTGCCGGATATCTAATACCTCCAGCTCATGAAGGTTATTGATAGCATTGGGCAGGTGGGCAACATTTGTGTCCTTTAGGCTCAGATACTTAAGCAGTAAAACTTTGTTGCAGATGTCTTCGAGGTAGTGGTTGTTCTTGTCAAATGATTGGCAGCCTTCTAGATCCAGCACCTTGAGCAGTTGCAAATAAGGTGAAAAATACTTGAGATTTTGCATGAACTTTTCGATGTTGTCAGAGCGGCGGAGTCGGAGATTGCAAAAAATAGAAAAGTGGTGAGCCAAGTGATGCAATTGGCTTTCCTTCACAAATTGTTTCTCCTTGGCAGCCTTGGTGATGAACTCATGAACAAGATTGTCTACCATGCAGCTCTTGACCTTTCCTGCAGCGGTAACATCCCCTGGATAAACAAGCCACCGATCGATGAGCACGTCAAAACATCTCTCAGCATTACGCACCGCACAGTCTGCACTAGGCCAATCGTCCTTCCCGGTTATCAGCCCTTCTACAACCCACCGTGCTTGTAAGGTTGATCTCCTGATGCTTTGGCCTTGAGGGAAGATAGCTAGGTACAGCAAGCAGGACAAGTATTCTGTAGGCATGTCGTTGTAGGAGAACTCGAATATCTTCTTAGCATTGTTGCACAACGATGATTCTTCTGAGACCAGTTGGGTGCTGTCATTGCTTTTGTCAGGCTCAGGACTAGCCTTGGAAGCATTACTGGCTAGCGATTTTTGTGGAACCAGGGTTTTATACAACTCGCGCAGATCATTGTTGCTCCTATTGGGTTCAGCATACAAAGCATGAGCAAACATCTTCATGCAGAACTCATCTGGATCACACTTGTCCAAGATGTCACGGAAAAGCTGGGAATTGTAGTTATTGTTTTGTTTCGCCTGCTGACTTGTAAGCTGGAGCACGGTATCATGATAGAGACCAGCAATAGAATAGGTAATAGGCTCTCGCGGTGGATAGCAAAATTTATTGGCCACTTGGCTTTCCTTTGTGATAACCACGACCATTGCATCAGCGCAAGTGTAACCCAGTAGGCTTAAAGCATTCATGGTGGTCTCCTCGCACGAAGACAAGAAGCCTTTATCATCTTGGAGGATAATCAGGGTCCTTTTATCCTTCTCCAAATGGTCTTTGATCTTGTCCACAATCCCTTGGATCACCAGCTGGACTTTAATCTTCTCCTTGATATCCCCTATCTTGTTCTTAGTTTCTTCAATAGCATCAGCCACTTCCAAGTGCTTCTCCAATTGCTTGTCTAGTATAGCCTTGTGGACAATTTCTTTGATTTGATCCTTGCCTAACATAGTAGCAGCAGCACTTGGTCCTAGTGCAGTGGACTTGGTGGTAGATTTATCCTGCTTCAGTGGCGTGCTGCTGACTGTCGGGAACACTTCCCTCAGGATGTTTACATATTGCTTCTTACTGAGATGAATCTTGTTCACCTCTGATACTTCCATATGAATTTTAAGCGCCTCTGCAATTTTTCTGATAATATTCGCCTCGCCCGATGCTAAGGTACGCAGGGCACGCCTCACCGACTTTACATCATTTGGCATGGGAGGCAGCAATGCCAGGAAAAGTATGCCCAAAGGTTTATTGTAGACAAGAGCGTTGAGATTAACCTTTTCTTGGCTTCTCACCGTTTTCTCGATTTCATTGGTCGTTTTCTTGTCCTTGATGCTGTCGATCTTCGTCTTGAGTTGTTCAATGCGGTCGTCGAAATTCCTTTTTTCTATCTCTTCCCACATTTCATCAAACACTTGCCATTTTTCATCGGAGGCTTGCGATTGAAGGTTGTCGTCGTCGTCGTCACTGCCCATGGCCTTGTCATCTTTGCCTCCCTCCTCCTGCTTCTGCTTGCGTTTATCTCTGCTGCCTTGTGCTTGTACGGGCTGGGATCGAGGCTTGAGCTCCCCCAGGATGTAGCAGAGAATTTCCCAGGGTTCAAGTGGCAGATCAAATTCCGCGTGCAGCAGCGGGAGATTGACCCAGACTGCGGGATTGAAACCAGCTGCCTCCGCCGCCACATACGAGACTATTGAAGAAACGGCGGCGGCATCCTCTGGACGCGGTGCCTCAACAGCGATAAATGGCACCATTGAACCCCTCTTTGTGTTGAATTCCTTGAGCCACTTGTGCAGGTTCTCGCAGCAGTAGTCCTCTAGAGTGCGAGGCTCTAGAGCTCTTCGGCGGTCAGGACGACCATCGACGACGGTCGCCGTTGCTGCATGATTCTGGTCGTCGTCCTCTTCATCTGCTCGAGCATCAGCTGCAGCTGTGGCCGCCGCAGCATCAGAAGACGGCGCCGTCTGAGACCCGTGGCCGGAAGAAGACGCCGCATTCTTCGTCGGGATCTCCCCCACCACTCCATACCTCTGCCGCCGCTCGCCGACGTCGCGGACACGGTCCTTGAGCTCGTGGATCTTCTTGGCGAGGCGATGGCGGGTGGGCACCGTGCTCAGCCACGTCGGGACGTGGCGGAGCCAGGGCCAGAAGCCCGGCTCCGGCGGGGTGAGGTCGCGGCGGTAGAGCGTGATGCAGTCGTCGGCGACGTAGGCGATATCACGGACCTGCCTCATCCACACCCGGACCTGGTCGTTGTGGGAGGCCTTATTCTCGGTGAGGTACATGAGGGTGCCGTTGATGCTGTCCATCTCATCCTTGATGAACTGCATGTCCTCCTTGGCGCGGCCCGACATCATCAGCTCCGCGTTGCGGATGAGGCCCAACAGCGAGCTCACGGCGCCCGCCGTGAGCTCAGCCATCGCCGCCGTCCAGCCACAACACACCACACACCTTCAGTATTCTGGCTAGCTAGCTAGGCTTACTTCAGCTTTGCTTAGTAAAATGGCCAGCCTATTTAAGTCGAGAATATCGAACTTGCTTGGGATATCAGGTGAGCACCACACCAGCAATAAAGCTTAGCGATCCCTTTATTATTAAATAAATAAAGCAAAAAAACATACGTAAACTTTGCCAAAGCAATAAAGCGCGCGCCGCACTTTAATTTGTCGCCTCCGATTCGTTGCCCCCAATCCGCGGATTTCCGCGCGCCGGTCCCCCCGCGCGGCGCGGGATCGACGACGCATGGCAGCTTCTTTCGTTTGTTTTTGTTTTTTTTTCCGGTTTTTCTTTTGGCTTTTTTTCGGTTTTTGCTTTTTTAATACATACGTAAACAAACTTTGTATACATACGTATACAAACAATATATATACTAGAAAAAATCCCCGTACGTTGCAACAGGTAAGATGTTTTTAATCGGTATACGTTATACTTATTCTACATCCCTCCACTCAGCCTACCTTTCTTTGGCCCAACCCACATGTGGAACCATGGGTCTCCATCTTCAACCTCCAGAAAATGGTAATGATGCTGGAGCTGATTATCCCCCATCAAATCCGACCAAATCTTTCTCGATCTCCTAAAATTGGTTTAGGAATTTTGATCCACTCGATCTTCTCTTTCCGTTTTTTCCAAAATTGGAGCGAACAAAACTCGGGATATAAACGGTTGAGAAAGCTTGCTGGCCGGCCATCATCGGCGATGGTTAAATGGAGAGAATTGAAGAATTGAAGGGAAAAATCATGGGAAAATGATGAGGGATGAGTGGGGAATCGATTTTTGTAATCAATTAGATGAGGAAACGCATGGAGAGACATATCGACATGGTGACAGAGCTAGGCTTCGGCCTAGCGAAGGAAAGAGACGGTGACGAAAGGAAAACCAAAAAACCGAAAGCCCTTACCGCGTGCAAGAAAAAAAACCTCAATGAAAAAAACAGTGGCGGCGACAAAAAAATCTGGACATAGCATAAAAAAACAAATTTTTTTATTAGGTATATAGAATAAAACTGAAATATAAAATTAAAACCGACTCAAACATGGATGTATCGCTGAATTGTAGGATCGAATACCTAATACCAAAGCAACCAGAGGGGAGGTGAATGGTTGTAGTACCCAAAAACCAAACTTTTAGCAGAATTAAAAGTTACCCTCGAATTTTGATGATCTGCGGTCTAACCAGAGTAGATGCGCCGGTCTGACCGCTGAAGATCACCTGTTGTCACCTTCTGTCAACGCCGGTCTGACCGCTGTGCTCCCACCGGTCTGACCGTGCCGATGCCACCGGTCGGACCGCCGGTATCTCGTCGGTTGGACCACCGTACCCGAGCAAATACAAATCGAAGAACTCTCAAAGTAGATTAATACTATATTACTTATCTCTGTGTTTACAAAGTGCAATGACAGCACTCCTTACAAAAATCTCAACAAAACTCGAAACCATAACTTTCTCGCAACTCAACTCACTCTAAAACGCATACCGGGAGGCCATACTCTCCCTCTCTATATATACCCGAGTTAGGCAGCCTAAAGCCACGAACCCAACTCATACAAGAAGTCCTAATTCCCTAGGAAACCTTCCGGTACAAGAAACGAACATTACAAACTCCAATTGTACCAATTTTGGACTCCATCCAAAATATAACTCCGCATCCCATACGCACATAATATCTTCATCGTATGCCATATGAAATCTTCACCAACCACGTGCATCAATCTTTACCCTAAGCATCCCTCATGATATCCTGATCGTCCGGACGTCATCTTCTCCCAAGTTGACTCCCGATCCATCACCGGCAACACTCTCCCGAGGCATAAAGATTACCTACACATGAATCAAACAAAGAAACAATATCCGTGCACAAGCTATCTCCAACTTAACTCAATGTTAGCACACAACAGTATTACATACGCATAGTATCCATCTAGAAGTTGTAAACACAAATTATCCACAGATATCCAACAAAAACAACCCGAAACCGAAACCGACAAAGAGTCGGCTGGTCAGACCACGGGCTGGCCGGTCTGACCGCACACAGACCTCCGGTCTGACCGGCAGCATCTGCCCGTATTGATGCGAAAAACACACACTGGCCTGGGAGATATGCTTAGCTACAGTGCAGGTCCAAATCTTAGTGAGGTGCGGGCGTGCCAGTCAGTTTGATCCTGCAACTGACAAGATATGTAAATAGTAGATCAATGAGCCGATCGGCTGACAAGCCGATGTAGTAGTTCTAGCCGATAGCCGATACCAGCCGATAGCTGATGCTAGCCGATAGCGATAGGGTTTTAAGCTATCAGCTATATGTCCAATGTATATAATGATATGAAGGCAATCGGCTGATGATAATATAATATAGCAAGATAATCTAGTAGAAACCAATCAGCTAACAATATCATATAGTAGAACAAGTATTAATCCGAAGGTTAAAGTATACATCGGCTGGAGGTCCGATGTCATAAAATCCACAAGATTAGATTAAACAGTAAAAGCTTTGTTGCGATCGGCTAAATACAACTTATATGTATATGCAATCCTTACAAGCCGATGCAACGTTTAGATAACTTATCGGCTAGCACCCCGATAAAACATTAGCATGAACCTATCGGCTTAACAAGATTTATATTATCAACAACAATCTAGTAGGTCGAACCTAACCGATGCAGCACGAGACTGTATGTGATAATATAATACTCGATGAGCCGATAGATCTATCTAATGTGATGGATACAACAAATCTATTTATAACAGCATTGGGATTGTAGAGATATATCGGCTAAGACAGAAGATCGGACCTAACCGAGACAGTTACAACTAAACCGATGCGTCTCTAAACACAATGCAACTAGAGATAGAATTGAGATATCAGGTAGGCAAATATATCAACCAAACCAGAGCGATCCAAGAGATCGAAGCGATGCAGCCTTGAACAACACCAATGTAGCCAATAGATCCACCAGGGCCGGCGGAACGTAGGACTTTCCCCTTCACCGGAGATCGAAAGCCGATGTAGCCCCGCGTCAGGTGCCAAATTCCGCCAGTTGATAAGTAAAAACCTTAGGAAAGAGGGTGGCGATGCGCCGAGAGTAGTTGTATTGATCGAGAGATTGATAGATTACAATGACCCCGGGTGTACATATTTATACCCATGGGTAGATACTAGTCCTTGTCGGACAAGAAAGAAACTTTCCTAAAGATAAAAGGAAAACATAAAGTCCTTATCGGACACTAAATACACTTTTGTAAAGATAAAAGGAAACTAACAAACTATTCCTAATTAATAGATAAACTGCCATGCCGCATCCTCCTTGAACTCGGACTCTTCTAGATAAGCTTCCTTTATTTCCTTAACCGAATCTACTAAGAATCCGACTGCCGACGATTGATAATTTCATCATCGGCTTACCCCAGCACTCTGAAGCCGATACAGACTCTTAAGCCGATGATAACTCCGAGGCTTACCAAATTTCGTCGTTAACAGCTCGGTCTGACCGGACCCGACAACAGCAGTCCCTATCAATCACCTGCAGAAATCCAATCATCTCCAAAACTACTTTGCCAATAATCTCCAAATATCAAAACCAATAATCTCATATGCCAATTGTTCATCACCAAAGAATAATCAAACACACTTTAATTTTACAATACCCCCCCTTGATGAACACATTGCCAAACCCATCAAAAATGTTTTGGTGTTTGGAAAATTAAAAACAAAAAATGGTAAAAAGCATCAGAGTGCTCAAAAATTAAAAAGAAAATTTCCCCCCCTTTTGAAAAGAAAGAATTTCCCTTGACCTGAAAAACTTGCACTTTTTCTATCTCTTCCCCCCTTTTGACAATGATTTCATCAAGCATAAGAATTATGTTCATTAATAATCAAGAGCTTAGCATCATACATATAGCAGGTCATGTCATATGTTGCAATAAAAAGAAGATACCCCATAAATTATATAGCAAGCATGCATTAGAGTATAATCATCAACCAAAAATCTTACAATTAAGATCAATAATGCAATAAAAATTCATGAATTCAAACGATTTATAATGCAACATCTTTATAAGCACATAGGTTGAAAAATAAACCCAAACATTTATACCTATTGCAACTATTACTCTTTCTCAAATTAGCTCTAACACAAAACAACCAACATAATTTTTTCACATTTATTTGACCCTATTTTTGCTCATATTTTTCTCTCAATTATTCCGGAAATGTCCTTGTCGTCGAGACTGTTTCCAAGGATTTGGCACCCATTATTTTTGCTCACATCGAATACGTCCTTGTCATCAAGACTGTTTACAAGGATTCGGTATTTATTTTTTTCTCTCATAGATATTTTTATTCTCTTGCACAATAAGCACTTTCAAAACTATTTGAGGAATAACAATTCAACACAGCATATATATAAGCATTTACTATCCAAACTATGCTCTAGTATCAACATTGCATATTTCATTAATTCAAGTATAGGAATTTAAATGTCATGCATCATCTCCCTTAAAAGCAAAATCTAAGCCTCATGAAAAGACTAGAATACATACAAGCTATGCTAGTGACAAATAAACCTTCATAGAATTGCTAGCATGCACAATAAAATACTATATGTATCAACAAAGCTCTTTCTTCAATTTAATTCATTCAAATATTGCTTGATAAAACCAAGAGCACAAACTCCCCCTCAAACCATGCCAAAAGGATGAATAATTCCCAACTCTCCACGAAGAAAAGCAAAGCGAGACGAATCCAATGGTTTAGTGAAAATATCTGCAAGTTGCAATTTAGTATCCAAAAATTTCAATTCAACATCTCCCTTCTCAACATGATCCCTCAAAAAGTGAAAGCGAATATCAATGTGCTTTGTGCGTGAGTGTTGTATATGATTCTTAGCAATGTTTATAGCACTTGTATTGTCACAATAAAGAGGAACCTTCTCAAAAGCAAGACCATAATTTTTCAAGGTTGAAATAAGCCAAAGAATCTGATAACAACAACTAGCAGAAGCAACATATTTTGATTCAGCAGTTGATTGAGCTATACTAGATTGTTTTCTAGAAGACCATGCTATCAATGATGTACCAAGAAAATGACATGTTTCACTAGTACTCT